ATGCAAGCCTTGCTACGGGAGAGGGAAAAAAAAAAACAAAAAAAACAAACAAAAAACCAAACCAAACCTCGTCTCACCCCAACCTGCACTGCTTCCCCCCCCCGCTCCAGCATCATCATGGGAAACACCTCCCAGCTGCACCAGGACCTCGGTGCAATTTGGGCGGGAGGGGTTAGATGGGGTGGGGGGGCAGCATCCCCCCGCAGGGTTCCGGACCCCCCCTGCCCCGCGCGGCCCCGGTGCTGGGGCGCGCAGCTGGAGCCCTCGCAGGGCCCTGCCGCTTTAAACCTGCCTCTCCCACGTGCTGTCTGGTTGTGCTGGAGACGGTGACGCAGGCAGGACGTCAATGGACGCTGTGGGAGAATTTAGACTTGGAGAGGAAAGGAGGGGGGGGGGGCAGGGAGGAAGGGCCCGTTTGCAGGGAGCAGGGGGCCGCGGGGCCGGTGGGGGGTGCACAGCCGGGGCAGGAGGGACCCAGCACCCAGCTTTGCGGGGTTCCCCCCGGGAGCATCGCCAGAGGCTTCGCTCCCTGAAACGATTCCCCTACCACCACACGTCATGTGTCCCCCCCCCCCCCCCCAAATGCTGGGGCCTCTGCCAGCTGCGAGGGCAAATAATCCGCCTCCAGCGTGCCCGTGCTGGGGTGGGGGGTGGTGGTGGGGCCACGTGAAGGCGATGCTTCCTCCTCGCCTGCATGGCTACCCCCCCCTCTCCCCCCCCCCCCCGACTTGTCACCCCGCACGTGTGCCACCCCCGTCCTCCCCACGGGTTGGGTGCGCAGCGAGTGTGCCAGCCTCTGCGCTGCACCGTGCCCTGGGCACGGCACCTCGTGGGTGCCACGGGGACGGCAGGGACCCGGGTTTGGGGGGGGGGGGGGTCACCAGGGCTGGCCCCCCCGCTCGGGGCCGCAGAGCCTGGCTTGACCCCGCGTGCGCATCTCGCTGCACAGCTCCAGCTCCTCTCCCCTGGCGGTGTTTGCTCCCCCCAGCCCCAAAAGCAGGCTGTGCCACAGCCCAGAGCACCCATGGGGTCAGGGTCCAGCTAATTTGGGGCTGGCAGGAGACCCACATCCATCCCCCCGCCCCGCTTTAAGCTCTGCAGCATCCCAAGAGCGCCGGCATTGCCGGGTGATGAGCTGGCGGCGGCACTTCCACACCAGCCAGCGACGAGACAAACCACAGACTTTGATTCCTCACCACATCGGACTCCTATCTTTTTAAAAGCCAAACCAGTCTCCCCAAAACCAGTGTGGGAGCTTTGCTCCTGCCCGGCGCGGAGGGAGGAACGGTGGCAGAGAGAAACCAAAATCGCGGCGAGGAGGGTAGAGATGCTGCTCCACGGCATGGGACGCTGCTCTTGGCCTCTTGGCTTTGAAACCAGCCCTCAACCGGCTCCTCGCCCGTCCTCCCTAAGCTCCACGCAGGAAAGGAGCAAATATTTTTCCCACTTTAGGTTTTTGGGTGTCTTGTTTTTTTTTTTAATAGCCTGAGGGTGTAGGTGGCTGCATATCTTGGAAGACCCAGGAGTCCTGCCTCCTACCCATTGGCATAGGGCAAGGGAAAGCAATTTCCACTGTCAAGAGGCTGCGTACCAGCTGTACGAAGCCATCAGCCTGGTGTGGGAAGGGAGTTACTCAGCATTTGGTTCCCAAGAGAAAAAAAAAAAAAAAAAATACAGCTCAAACTGACTTTCCAAAATACTTTGAGGTTCATAGTAATGTTCTCGTCTTCGTCTCATAAATATCCTGGGTTGGATCCTTCCCTTGTTTCCACCCCATAGCTCACAGAGAGGCACTGGAGCTCGGCTGCTGCACATTATTATGACTATTTTTATTTTTTATTTCTTTGGATACATGATCTCAGTTGATTGGAAAACAAACGCCAGAGAATCCTTGAGGAGAGACTGCAAACAGCTCTTGGTGAGATGACTAATCCCATCTCTATCTAAACCAACAGGGTGCTAAAAATAGCCCCTATTTCTAACAATAAATATAATAAAATAACTTAACTGACAACAAACAGCCCCAAAAAGCCAAACACACTGAAAAGTCCACTAGAAATATGTATCATGATGGGGGAAAGAGCCAGGAAGAAACTGTGTCACTGAGTCAGAGGGGTGACGGCGGCGGAGGTGCCTGTGCCACTGGTGATGCTCGGGTTGGATCCGGCCTCTCCGTTGAATGCATCTTACCTCTTGCCCTAACAATTTGTGTTTTGTCTTAATTTATCCCAGATTAATGCGGGGAGAGGTGCAAGGGCCGCACTCCAGCGTGGGGTCCACGCACCAGCCCCCAAGCAAGCCCATCCCGGGGTGGCCGGCTGCGGCAGTGCCACCATCCCACCCCCGAGCATCCGCTGACGCCCCCCCGAGCCCCAAATCACGAAATCACGACCCCCCCTTTCCCCAGCTCCGGGCTGCAGGTCCGCTTGCCCCCCCCCCCCCCCCCCCCCCGCCCCTGGGCTTTCCCTGCAGCGTTTGCTCCCTGCCCGCCAGCCTTCCCGAGCCGTGCGCTCGCCACACACCTCGGATAATTTGCCGCCTACTTTCCACGCACCGGGAGCCTCCTCCCACACCCAGCGCGTTGCAAAACGTCCCCCTCGGCTGAGTCACCGGCATCGGGGAACCTCTTCCTGCCCTCCCGGCCCGGGACGGGGCTCAAGGAAGAGCTGGACATGATGAACAGCCCCAACGGGAGCACACCCCAGCCCCAGCCTCCCAGGCCTTTGGGGAGAGAATTGGTTTTTTTGGGTTTGTGCAGCACCTCGTGCCGTGGCGGAGGCCAGAGCAGGGGGACCGCGTGCCGCTGAGAGATGGGTGATGGTTAATGGTTACAGGCATGGTCTTGGTAAAGACGCAATGCCTGGCTCTGCTCCCTCACCCCCAGCAGCTCCCCTGCGGCTGTTTTTGTGCTCCAGGGACGCTGGGAGCACCTGTATTCTCAGTGCTCCAGCTGGATGCGACCCAACGGGGCTGGGATGTCCTTGTCACCGGTCCTCAGCCCTCCTGTACTGGGACAGCGGCCTTGTCCATGACGCAGCCATCACTCAGCATCCCTGTCCTCTGGGGCATCAGAGTCCCGCCGGACTCGTGCCGCACGTGTGGGGAGGTGGGCTGCATGTCCCCTGGTCGTGGACACCCATGGAACATCTCCCGTGGAAGCTCCAACCCCTGGCACGAGCGTGCTTCCACCGGGCGCAGTCCCACGCCAGCTGGATTTTTATTTTCACTGCTTTCTGTGGCACGTGGGAGCCACATGGCACTTCTCCGGCCAGCGCATGGCGGCGAGAGAACTCATCCAGTGGGAGAACCAGCACGGCCATGCCCCTCGGTGCAGACCCTTCCAACCACCGGCCCCCTCTGCATCCCCAGCCCCGAGGCTGCTGGCGGGTGGGGGCAAGACGGCGACAGCACGAGGTCCCCAACCCCCCCTAAAAAAAATCGAGAGTCCTGCCCCAACCAACCCTGGCGTGGAACGAGCGCCGCAGTGGGAGCCACGGTTCGACAGGTTGGATTTCTTGAGGGTAACCACAGAGCAATTTCTCCAGGTTGAAGCTCCAGGAGGAGCTGGAGGAGAGGGAACATAATGCCCCGGCTTGAAGCTGGGCCCGGGCGTTGCAGCCCTGCAGCCGAGGAGCGCAGGAAACCGCCGGGGGCTTGGCCGCGTGTTCCCAGCCCCGAGGATTTGGTGTTGAACTGGGACCTTTTGGCGCCTCTGAGCACCAGATCCAGCATCCCCGCTGTGGAACGGGCCCTTTCACCGGGGGAAGGGGTCAGTAACGTGCCCCAGTGGGGCTTTTAGGGACACGTGCCAAGGCTGACCCCCGGGGTTTGAGGCTGGGACGGTGACACTCGCACCCCACCAGCCTCACTCCCCTGGGTCTTGTCCCAACCCCCCCCCCCCAAAACAGCAGCTTTCCCTGCCATCACCCCAGGGGGTGGCTGCTCCGGCCATGGGTGCGGGCTGCACACGGGGGTTTGAGGGACCCCTCCCCACACACCTCCCCATCGCTGGGAAGCACTGCCATGAGTGGGGCCGTGCCAGAACCCCGCGGGTGGTGGGGTCGTGCAACTTCACCCCACTCCTCAACTGTGCCCTCAGCAACCCCCAGCCCCTGCTCTGCATCCCCCCCCCCACCTCCTCCTCAGCCCTTGCTCTATCCGCCCCCAGCCCTGGCTCTGACCCCCTCCTTGGCCTCTGGATCTGCCCCCCCAGCCCCGGCTTTGCACCCCCCAGTTCCATACCTGTCCCCCATCGGTCCCGTCTCTGCCCCTGCCCCCATCCCCGTCCCCCCGTCCCCCCGTCCCCTGGACCTGCCCCCTCCCACCAGCCCTGTCTCTGCCCCCCCCAGCCCCGTCTCTGCCCCCCCGGCCCCCTCCGCCCCCCGTCTCTTACTCCCTGGTCCCGGCTCTGCCCCACCCGCCCCCCGTCTCTTCCCCCCCGGTCCCCCGTCTCTTCCCCCTCCGGTCCCGGCTCTGCCCTCCCGGCCCCCGTCTCTTCCCCCCCGGTCCCCCGTCTCTTCCACCCCCGGTCCCGGCTCTGCCCCCCCCGCCCCCCGTCTCTTCCCCCCCGGTCCCGGCTCTGCCCCCCCCGTCCCCCGTCTCTTCCCCGCCCGCCCCCCGGCTCTGCCCCCCCGGCCCCCGTCTCTTCCCCCTCCGGTCCCGGCTCTGCCCCCCCCGCCCCCCGGCTCTTCCCCCCCCGTCCCCCGGCTCTGCCCCCCCAGCCCCCCGTCTCTTCCCCGCCCGCCCCCCGGCTCTTCCCCCCCGGTCCCCCGTCTCTTCCCCCCCGGTCCCGGCTCTGCCCCCCTCGTCCCCCGTCTCTTTTCCCCCCGCCCCCCGGCTCTGCCCCCCCCGCCCCCCGTCTCTTACCCCCCAGTCCCGGCTCTGCCCCCCCGTCTCTTCCCCCCCCCCCGCCCCCCCCCCTGCCCCCCCGGCCCCGGCTCTGCCCCCGGCCCCGCTCCGCTTCCTCCGCGCCGCCGCGGCCATTGGCTGCCCGCGCCGCCGCCCGCGCCCTGCGCCGCGCCGCGTCCTGACGCTGGGCTGGGCCGGCCCCGGCGATGGTCGCTCCCCGCCGGCTCCGCCGCAGCCCCGGGAGGCGGCTGGGCTCCGCGCCGCGGTAGAGGTGGGTCCCCGTCCTTCCCTCGCGCTTTTACTCATTTATTTATTCTTAACGTTGCCTTCTTAGGTTTTTTTTTTTTTTTAAATTATTATTTTTTTAATTCCTTCCTCCCCCCCCCCCTTATTTTTTATATTTTTAACCTCTTTGCGATTCTGGCGTTACTTCCGAGAACGGCGATCCCCCGCCCTGCCCCGGGCCGTACCGCCCGCGTTTAACCGGGCGAAAAGCTCCGTCTATGTGTGTTTGGTAGGAGCGGGAGGGGGGGGGGGGGGGGGCTCCTTTCCTTCCCCCATCCCCCCCCCAACCCCCCCCCCCCCCCTCCGGCTCTGCGCGGTGCCGCCCCGAGGCGGCGGGGATGGGCGGCGGAGCGCGGCCGGAGCGCGGAGCGCGCAGCCGGCGGGGGCGGAGAGCACATCCTTCCCCCCCGCCACCCCCCCTTCCACCCCCCCCCCCCCCCCGCCACCCCCCCTTCCACCCCCCCCCCCCCCCGCCGCCGCCGCTTCAAAACAAACCGTCACCAAAATGGTGCAGAGGTGAAGGAGGGAGAGGGAGGAAGGGGAAGAAGTGTCGCCTCGGCCTGGGCGCTGCGGGGGACAGGTGAGAGGGGGGCGGGATGGGGAGGGGGGGGGGATGTGGGTGCAGGGGTGCGAGGCAAGGGGATGGGTCCCTCTGCCCGGTGGGTGCTGCTGATGGGGTGGGGGAGAGGCACTGGGGGGTGTGTGTGCGTGTGTGTGTGTGCGCGCTCGCCCTGCTTTGGGGCAGTGCTGGAGGGGTTTGTACCCCCATGGTGACAGTCCCCAAGCCCAACCGGGGTGGCCTTGTGGGACCGAGGGAGAAGTGGGGCCAAGCAACATTCGGGGAGGGGGGGGATGCCCTCCCCGGTGGGGCTCAGGGTGATGCTAAGGGTGCTGGGGTGGGTGGGGGGGAAGCAGCTGGTGGAGGGGCCGCCAGCAAAGCTCGGGGTGCTGGTGAAGGAGTGTGGGGGGGGGGGGGGCTGTGTTTTTTTGATTGGCAATAGCAGCTTTCGGAGAGCCGGCGGTAAATCGAGTCCTGGAGCTTCAATGACTTGGCCGGGTGCCGGCTCTGGAGCTGACAGCCGTGATTGTTTGTTCCTCCGGGGCCGGTGGCAGCGGTGGGGGCACAACGCCGCGGCTGCCATTTGACAGCGACCGGAGCGAGGGGCCGGGGGGGGGGGGCAAAGCCCCCGGTACCGCCACCGCGGCCTCCCCGGGACATTGAGCGTTTCCTCGGCTTGGCGGTACGAGGGGCCACGCGATGCCGGGGGAGCGATGCGGGGGACAGGGCATTGGGGTGCTGTTCAGCATCTGTAGCGCCTGTTTGCCAGTGGCTTATCTCCTTCCCAACAGCTCGCCCCCTTGGCTTTGTTGCTGGCTTTTTTTATTTTTTTTTATTTTTTTTTTATTTTTTTTTTTTTTATTTATTCCCTCCCCCTCGTGCACACCCAGCGAGGCACACACGTGTGCGCGCACACTCTGCTCTTCCCTCCGCACCCTGGGAGCCCTGTGGCACCCCGTGGCTCTGCACGGCCACAAGCTGGGGTGTCTGTGTTCCACACCCCCCCCCCCCCCCCGACCTCATCCTCCTGCGCTTTTGGGAGCTGCCATACATTTTTGGCTGGTGACACCCCCCACCACCTGCAGGCAGGGGTCTGGGCAGGGAGGCAGATGCCGGTAAGTGGAGCACAGCTGGTGTGAATTCCCCCTGTGCCTCCTCCCAGGGCAAAGCTTTGGCACAGCACCTCTGCCTGCCTGCCCCCCGCCTCCCCCCCGCACCCAGCGCCGGGGAAGGCCTGATCCTGCCCCTCCAAAGCCTTTTCTCCTGTGGTGCGTGGCCCCACGTGGATTTTCAGGCTGGTTTTGCTCTGCCAAGGTGGTTGCTCTTAAACCACTGTCCCAGTACGGCCAGCCCAAAACCTCACTGGGGACAGGGCTGGGCTGGACTCGGCGTGACGGGCTGTGGATTTTGAGTGTAGGTAAGGTTTATTCTGGGTGTTTTCTTTCCTTCCCTCAGCCGATTCGGTGCTGGTGGCCCCAGCGTGGGATGTGCTGGGGCTGCCCGTGTCCCTTGGGAGCTCAAAGCGAGCTGCCTGCCTGGCCCTCAGGATTGCTGCCCGTGGGCTCCTGAAGGTCATGGACCTCTGGATGGGCCTTGTGGCTTCTCCATTCCTCATTTCCCCCCCCCCCCCCCCCCCCCCTTCCCCCTTGTCCTTCAGCCTCTGCAGTTGTCGTGGCTTTGCCAGGCTGAGGCATCCGCACTCGTGCTCGGCTCGGAGCAGGTGGCCGGTGTCCCCGGAGCGGCGGGGGCCGCTGCTCGGGTTTCGCCGGCGCTGCCAGCGCGGTGGAAAAGCCGCGGCAGGGGTTTAACCGGCTTGTGTTGAAGGTCTGCTGGCTCTGTGCTTCCACTCCTGCCCCGGCTCCCCCCCCACCCCCCCCACCCCAGCACGAACGGACTCGGGGGCTCCTTGTGCCTGCCGGGCACATCCCCACCAGTGCTTGGTCCTTTTGGGGGGCTCCAGGGACCTTGGGAAGCGCCAGCTTTGTCAGTGGGTGACCTTGGGCAAGTCCCTTTGCTTCCCCACGCTTCGGTGTTGCTCTCAGGAGAGGGGTGGTGTTTAATGTGTTTATTCCCACCCCCCCCCCCCTCCCCTTGCTGGTGTGGGGCTCTTGGCTCCGCTTGGGAAGTGCAACCGCGGAGATGGAAAGGGCTGTTGCTATTTTATCCCGTCCCCGAGCGGGCAGGGTGGAGGCACGGACGGTGCTGGAGTCACCCGGGGTGGATTTTTCCCAGGCTGCCAAGTGAAACAAGTGGGGTCTGATTCTCATTTAACGCCGCAGCCCTTTACTGCGACTCTGGCAACGTAAAGGAGCCTAAATATGGTCATAAACCACATCCACTTCGAGGTTCGTCCGTGCTGCCAGGGCAGCCTGACGGCGGCTTTGTGCGAAGGAGAACAAAGCCGAAAGGGTCGGATGAAAAGTCCGGCAGTGGGACCCAGCTACCGTGGTGGTGGCACGGGCTGGGAGCTGCCCGGCAGCGGGGTGCCGGTGCTGGTGCAGGCCGTGGCTCGTGGAGGAAGGATGAAGGCGAAGGTGGTGGTGGTGGTGGTGGTGGGGTGATGCCACCCAGCTCATCCCGAAGCACCTAGGAGCACTTTGATGAGAAGGGGAGGGCCCAGTTACAGGCTCTGCCACTGTGACCCTGGGCGAGTCATTTAAACCTTAAAAGCATCAGTGGTGAGGGGCAGAAATTGTTTTTCTCTCTCTTTTTTTTTTTTTTTTTTTTTAATCAAGCCAGAGTGCTTCCCAGGGTCAGGTTGGTGATGCTTGGAGTGTGCTGGGAGGGGACCTGCCCCGGGGATGCTGCGTGGCCTCCCCCCACCCTGCGGCCATGGGGTTGCAGGGCCACGAGCGTTTTGCAGCGGCTCGGTTGGGAACGGAGGGAAAAGAGGGAGCGGGATGTGTCGCTGGCATGACCCCCCCCCCCCCCCCCCCCCCCCCCTTTTTCCAGGCCGCTGCCGCCCCGCTGGGTGCCCCTGGCAGCCCAGTGCTGGCGGCGCCGCCGCGCAGAAGCCGCGGCGGTGCCCGAGGCTTGGGAAGTGAGCAGGCAGCATCCCGTTAAATCCCGTTAATACCCGGGAGCACACGCGGAGGTGGCCCGAGCGGGGCCGTGGCGAGCGAGCGGGGGCTGCCGTGTCGATGCCGTGCCGGACTTCCCCATCTGCAACCGGAGCTAAAAATACCCCCTCTGCCTCGCCCCGTCGCCGTCCCATCTGTTCGGAGGGCGAGCTCCTCGGGCCGGGGACTCTTTCTTATTTTTATGGCTATTTTGGCAGTTCCTAGAGGCTGAGCCGGCCGGAGTTCAGAGGTGACTCTATTGCAAATGACAGTCCTGCCCCCGGGAAGGTACGGCTCTGCCGCTGAGCCAGCCGCGGTGAGCAAAAAGCAAGTGAGTCAGAGCAGGGGCAGGGAGGAGGAGGAGGAGGAGGAAGGTTGGGGAGGGAGAGGAGGTGTTGAAAGCTGTGGCCGTGCCGGGTGCCGCGGGGTGGGAGCCGGGTCCCCCCGGCCACACTCGCCCTCCCTGTGACAGCAGGGCTATGGGATACATCAGCCCCTCGCCTCCCCGAGACGGTATTTATTACTTTACCATCCAATACGCCTCTCCGGGTTTGTTTTTTTTTTTTTTTTTTAATTTTTTCTTTCCTTTCTTCAGCTAATTAGAGGAGCTTTCAATAAAAAGCTGAAATTTGTTAATCATTTTATTTGATCAGAGCTTAGGCAGTGCCGGAAGACCTCTAGGTTTTTCCCTCTGCCTTGTTTGAGCAGCAGTTTGCTTTTGCTTTCAAGATGGATCTAGCCGTCTGCCTGCCAGCAGCTCTACCTCCACAGATCTGTCGCTTTTCATCTTGCACTCCAGTTTGGTTTGCTTGTGGTTTTTCTTTAATTTTTCCTTTCCTCTCGCTCCTGGTGTCTCCCTGCTGTAGCTCCCCAGTGCTTGAAAAACGGACAAGAGCTTGCATCCTTTAAAAAATTGGGGGGGGAAAAAAAAAAGAAAGCGCCCACGTGGAGCGAGGACTTGATAAATACATGGGGAATCATTTTGGAGCTATTTATTTTGGGGGGGGGGTGGGCTGTATGTTTGCCTTCTCTTAAATGGTGGCTAAAAAGGTGTGGGGGGAGAGGGGCTTCTGAGCTGCATGAGGAGAGTTTTTTGGGGAAGCTCGGCCCGTTTTCATGTGGTTTGCGCTGAGAATGGGGGGATGCAGCAGCTGCTCCTCAGTTCCCCGGGTGCTCTTGCCCGAGCTATAGGTGAACTTCTTCCCCTATATAAAAGCAGGATGGTAGGTATGGATGAGACGAGGTGCATGTGATGGTGTCGGGGCTCCTCGCTGCCAGGGTCGGTGTCACCTGGAGGGGTATGGTCGCGGCGAGATGCCCTGGTTATGGTTGAGCACTGGGATGCCGGGGTCCATTCCCGGTGCTGGG